CATCCTCCTCCCCTTCTCCCCCGCATCTCCCCTAAATGGCCCGAAATCAAAAAAAACAAACTGACCTGATTGGTTTTGAATTTTCTCCAGCAATCGTTTGGATTGTTTATATTCACGGTACCAATTTGCCAGGCCAGTTGTGCTCCGGTTGCTGTTAGTGCCGTATAGAACGGCCATGTTTGATGCACCAGTGCACCGGTGACACCGAAACCAAGTAAAGCCGCCACAGCGAAAGCACTCAACCAGCATTTGGTTTTGTCGCCAAACAGTAGGGCAGTGGATTTGACACCGGCAATCAGATCATCTGTTTTATCCTGAACAAATTGGTCCAACTGATAAAGCAAGTTCTACAAGTTCTAAGCGAGAGAATGCTTGTGTGCATGAAACCAGAAAAAAAAAAGCAGCAAAAGCACAGACATTTCCTTAATTGTGCGATTTTTTAAAAGAAAGCAATATGCAAAAACACAGGCGAAACGATGACTTCTGAATGAAGCGGCAATGATCACTGGATCAACCGGAACAGCAACGATTTCTGGATCAACCGGAGCAGCGAAGATCTCTGGATCAGGGAGTAAAATGGCCATTATCGCATGATAGTGCTCGGTGGGGGAGCGAAGCTCGAAGGCATTTGGATGAGGATTTAGAACGTAAAGTCTGGATAACGGTGGCAAAATTGTGACTGGAAGGACACAGGTGCAACAATGTGAAGTGCGAAAGGATGTGCAGGATGACAGGTCCCCAAATCATGCTTCATAGAATATATCTGACCTGATCAATCTGCCTCTAGGTGATTTTAATGATCATTCTACCTCCAAGCGTTTTTTAACGGATCGAAACGTCTTATCTCACTCTTCTCTCATACTGTTCTCTCATGCTGTTATATATCGCATCTTCGCCAGTTAGGATTTCAGAGTCAACCTGGTTGCTGCAGTCTGCTTACAAATTTTGAAAATTGTGTAACCAGTTTGCCACCACATCATTTCCTATGTAAAGACTTAGAATTCAGCTATAAGCTGTCTTCATAATGCTGAAATAGAGCAAGCTATGATCCCTAAAATTTGACAGTTAAATCCATCCGTACCAAAAATCTGTGTATTGTTTTCTGCTATCCCTTATAAGATGATTTCGAAGCGTTTGATTTAAAAATGCCCATAAGGATAGGATAAATGAGCAGGGTACACGAAGCTGAGATTTGTGTGGACTTGTGCATCAAGCCAACAGAGGGGAACTTTCAATCGTATCCGATTAGATGTTCTGCTTATCTGTAAGACTAGGAAATACGATCCATAAGGTTAATTTTTCCGGAATTGAACATCAAGGAAGAGGGGCTCAGAGCCGAACTTTCAATAATACACGATGAAATATCCTGCTCATCTGTACGGTCAGGAAATAACGGACCCATAAAGCTAATTTTTCTGGAATCCTTGATGGGCCGTTATGGATTCATCAACATTGGAACGGACATGATAAGAATTTGTTAATGTAAATTGGACGGTGCAGTCGTGAAAAATTCCACAAAGGTGATCTGCGCAAAAAATGAAGGATTGAGTGACACGGGATTAGTATAACTGCTCAGAATGATGTGTCAAAAGCGAGAGGGCAAAATGAGGGTACAATGATTGAACAGCGAGATTAATTTAGCATCAAAAGCAGAGTTTGAAATGTGTTGGTGTCGCTCTTTGGTGCTTGTAGTGAGGTTTCGAATTCAGCCGATTTCCACAATATCTTTGCGAACATATCATACTTTTGAAAATGCGCGAGAACCAGGCTAGTTTTGGAAAAAAGTTTGAACCACCGGCTAAGTCAGCCAAATTATTCCATGTTTTTACATACCACGAGAAATGGGGGTATCCATCCGGAAGTCGCTTAAGTACCACGAATAGTAACCATGCTGACATGATTACTGATGGCTAACTCTCTCGAGAAATTACTTGGAAACAAGCGCGTGTCAGTTTACCACGAGAGGAGGGACCCGCAAATAGTAGCCTTAAGCGATAACCACTTGTCAAGAGTGACCATGAGCTGACACGACTGTTGATGGCTACCTCTCAATGACTGGCTTAGAAACAAGCATGCGTTGATTTTGATTCCCTGGGTAGTTTACCATCGAAACGAATGAATGAACTGAAAACGGAGCGGTTTTGCTACATCGACGAGCTCAGCAGCTAATCTCGATCCTTCAAAACAATTCTTCGTAAGAACAGCTCCAGTTCCTTCGAAAAACATTGACTTTCGAAGTATCGCTGAAGGGGATCTCTCAGTATGCTTTAATTTCCAATAGCAGATATTCGGGACAAAGGCATGGATCAGAGGGCAAAGCGCGAAGCAAAAATTTCAGTCGAAATCTGAAGCCTGAAGCTTTACAAACATTAATTCAGTCTATTTTACTATGAAAAGGCTTTTCTCTCCTTCTTCCCGAGCCTCCTCTCCATTACATCATCCTCTTTCCACAGCCTCTAATTTCACGTAAAATGCTGGTGCGAGATTTTACAGTGCGAGAAAACCGGTTTTTTTGCATTTCTCACAAAAACTTTTGTGTGTTAGCTAGTA